CACTCCTCTTGTGGATTCCAGAACCAAATTTTCATCTCTCCATCCTGTCCTAAGGTGATGTGTACGCAGTCAATATGGGAATAGTTGAAATCCCCCACTTTTATTGAGTTTTTCATTTTGATAGTCTCTAATCTCCCTTAGCATTTCATAATCACTATCACTTTCCTGATCAGGTGGTCAATACTATATCCCTACTGCTATAGTCTTATTATTGGAACATGGAATTACTATCCACAGAGATCCTATGAAATATTTTGGCTCATTTAAGATTTTTACTTCATTTGATTCTACATTTCCTTTCACGTATAGTTCCACTCCCCCACCAGCACAACCATTCAATATATTTAGTATCATAGTAGGGCTGTGTCCCATTGATTGTCCTCATTCCTCCAAGTTTCCGTAATGACAATTACAGTAAAACTCCATTGGTCTGGCATCTGATGGTCCGGCACTCCTGATGGTCCGGCACCATCAGGAACCCGGAAGTGCTCCGGGCAGCCGGACCATTGGAGCTACTCTGCCCCCAGCTTCCCTGTTTCAGCCAATGCTGAAACTGACCAGCGGCTGAATCGGGGAAGCTGGGGGCAGAGCAGCTGGAGTACTGCCTGATAGGCCCCGTAGCGCTGCCCCTCAGGGCTGCGGGACCAACCCGGCAGCAACCCAGCAGTCCCCATTCAGCCACTGCTGAAACTGACCAGTAGCTGACTCCAGGAAGCCCTGGGCAGAGCAGCTCTGCCACAGGCGTCCCCGATTCAGCTGCTGCTGAAACTGACCAGCAGCGGCTGAATCGGGGATGCCTGAGGCAGAGCCGGACTATCGGAAGGGGGGGAGGGGCTATGAGGGGGTCTGTGGTGGTATCCCCCCCACACCACCCCAGACTCTTCAGCCCGGCATATCTGATAATCCGGCACCCCCTGGGTCCTAAAGGTGCTGGACTATCGGAAGTTTACTGTATATCAATATCCGCCTTTAAAACGAGGCATTCACCTATCTTATTACTTAGACTTCTAGCATTTGTGTATAAGCACTTTAAAAATTTATCTGTCTGCCATTTCCTGATGTGTTAGATTCTTTTTCATTTGATTGTCTCATCTGATCTGACCCATATTTTATCATCTTTCATCCACTCCTAACCAGAACATAGAAAATCTCTATTAATAGACCTTCCCCTAAGAGATGTCTCTGTCTAATCCATGTGCATCTCCGCACCCATCGGCTTTTACCCAGCCCTTAGTTTAAAAACTGCTCTACAACCTTTTCCATATTACATAGAACCAGTTAACCAATTCAACAGGATTTTACAGAGGTAGTTTACATCAATGCAACTTAATTGGAAATTACCAGAGTTAACTGCACCTGTGTAAACCCCATTTTAGATTTAGATGCAGTTACCCTAGAGCAAATTTCTCTAGTGTAAAGAGGCATTAAGACAAGTCATTGCTCCAGTATTTATTGGAGGAGAGTATCATTTAATGCATCACCAAATACACTTTTGGCAGTATATCAGGGCCTCCTGTTCAAATACATATCTGGGCTGACATCCTTGCTATGTGAGTTTCTGTGATCATAACTTAATACAGCTGCAAAAGCTTTTATAAAAAGGTTAAAAAAATATTTTCATGTGTGAGGAAACCAAATGACTGCATAACAGTTTTCTCCAGAAGGTATGTTTTTTCTTCACTACTTTTTAATAGTAAGGACATGTCCCCTTAATCCCTTCTACCTGAAGCAGAAAACAAAAGTGATTATTTCTACAGCTTTCATCAAGCAAAGAACTAAGTTTATATTAGTAAGCTATTGTCCATATGGCTGAGGCTTTTCAATCACTATGTAAAATATAATGTTTATTACTCCTAAACATACAGCAAGGCAGGGGTAGGCAACAAGAGACTCAGGGGGGCTGGATGTAGTTTGCCAGGGTTAACCCTGACATGGTAAAGCACGTCCAGCCTGTGGGCTGCTTATTGCCTACCCTGGGATTA